TGCCTCCGCCGGATTTCCTGCCTCCTGCAGGATGCACTCCTCCGCAAATTGCACTGCCTCCTGCAGGATTGCACTGCCTCCTGCAGGATTGCACTGCCTCCTGCAGGATTGCACTGCCTCCTGCAGGATTGCACTGCCTCCTGCAGGATTGCACTGCCCCCGCATATTGCACTGCCTCCTAAAGATTGCACTGCCTCCTGCGGATGCACTGCCCCCTCAGGGTTGCCTGCCCCCTGCGAATTGCACTCCCCCTGCAGGATTTCACTGCCTCCTCAGTTGCACTGCCTCCTGCAGGATTGCACTGCCTCCTGCAGGGTTGCACTGCCTCCTGCAGGGTTGCACTGCCTCCTGCAGGATTGCACTGCCTCCTGCAGGATTGCACTGCCTCCTGCAGGATTGCACTGCCTCCTGCAGGATTGCACTGCCTCCTGCAGGATTGCAACATCACCACTGGGTTGGTAGAGAAACATCTGCAAGAGTTTAATATCTTTATTCCGAAACGTTTCGCCTGCACAGCAGGTTTCTTCAGTCGAGTACAGAAAAGTTGGTAGAAACAGTGCATTATTATTATTATAATCAAGGGGAAGCGCTAAACCCGTAGGATTATGCAGCAGAAACAGTGGAGAAGTGAAGAGAAACAGTGGAGAAGTGAAGAGAAACAGTGGAGAAGTGAAGAGAAACAGTGGAGAAGTGAAGAGAAACAGTGGAGAAGTGAAGAGAAACAGTGGAGAAGTGAAGAGAAACAGTGGAGAAGTGAGAGAAACAGTGGAGAAGTGAAGAGAAACAGTGGAGAAGTGAAGAGAAACAGTGAAGAAGTGAAGAGAAACAGTGGAGAAGTGAAGAGAAACAGTGAAGAAGTGAAGAGAAACAGTGGAGAAGTGAAGAGAAATACCTAACTATTGCACATGTACTTAAAAAATCGTAATGACACGATTGCAAACAAACCATACCACGGGTGGGGATAGAACCCGCGGTCAGAGAGTCTCAATTGTTTCAGACTATGGAACAATGCTCTTCTCCAGACTGAGGGACTGACCACCTCAAAACTTTAAGGGTGATGGACTGATTACATCGTCTTCAAGTCTCTTCTGCTTCTATCAACTTTTCTGTACTCGACTGAAGAAGCCTACTGTGTAGGCGAAACGTTTCGAAATAAAGATACCTAACTGTTGCATATGTGTCTCACCTAACAACCTGTCGGTATTTTATACCATTTTAATGTTCACGTGTAACTTACCAACCTGACGGTATATTGTACCATTGTAATATTCAACACGACTTAAGTTTTAGTGCGAACAGTGTACGTTCAGTCCCCAGAACTGCATCATTACCACTAGAATGTCACAGTGTACGTTCAGTCCCCAGAACTGCATCATTACCACTAGAATGTCACAGTGTACGTTCAGTCCCCAGAACTGCATCATTTCCACTGGAATGTCACAGTGTACGTTCAGTCCCCACAACTGCATCATTACCACTAGAATGTCACAGTGTACGTTCAGTCCCCAGAACTGCATCATCACCACTAGAATGTCACAGTGTACGTTCAGTCCCCAGAACTGCATCATTACCACTAGAATGTCACAGTGTACGTTCAGTCCCCAGAACTGCATCATTTCCACTGGAATGTCACAGTGTACTTTCAGTCCCCAGAACTGCATCATCTCCACTGGAATGTCACAGTGTACGTTCAGTTCCCAGAACGCATCATCACCACTAGAATGTCACACTGCAAACAGTGTACTTTCAGTCCCCAGAACTGCATCATCTCCACTGGAATGTCACAGTGTACGTTCAGTCCCCAGAACTGCATCATTACCACTAGAAAGTCACAGTGTACGTTCAATCCCCGGAACTGCATCATCACCACTGGAATGTCACAGTGTACGTTCAGTTCCCAGAACTGCATCATCACCACTAGAATGTCACACTGCAAACAGTGTACGTTCAGTCCCCAGAACTGCATCATCACCACTAGAATGTCACACTGCAAACAGTGTACGTTCAGTCCCCAGAACTGCATCATCACCACTAGAATGTCAGAGTGTACGTTCAATCCCCAGAACTGCATCATCTCCACTGGAATGTCACAGTGTACGTTCAGTTCCCAGAACTGCATCATCACCACTAGAATGTCACACTGCAAACAGTGTACGTTCAGTCCCCAGAACTGCATCATCACCACTAGAATGTCACACTGCAAACAGTGTACGTTCAGTCCCCAGAACTGCATCATCACCACTAGAATGTCAGAGTGTACGTTCAATCCCCAGAACTGCATCATCACCACTAGAATGTCACACTGCAAACAGTGTACGTTCAGTCCCCAGAACTGCATCATCACCACTAGAATGTCAGAGCGTACGTTCAATCCCCAGAACTGCATCATCACCACTAGAATGTCACACTGCAAACAGTGTACGTTCAGTCCCCAGAACTGCATCATCACCACTAGAATGTCACACTGCAAACAGTGTACGTTCAGTCCCCAGAACTGCATCATCACCACTAGAATGTCACACTGCAAACAGTGTACGTTCAGTCCCCAGAACTGCATCATCACCACTAGAATGTCAGAGTGTACGTTCAATCCCCAGAACTGCATCATCACCACTAGAACCACAATGTTCACTATATCGTCCAAGCATGGAAGGAGGTAAACATCCGGTACTCTGACCTCATTCACTTTACGGTCGTCGGTACACATCCAGAATCCTCCATCATCTTTTAAACAAGGATACGTGTTGAAGAAACCATACCACGGGAGGGATTGAACCCGCGGTCAGAGTCTCAAAACTCCAGATCGTCGCGTTCAATCCCGCCCGTGGTATGGTTTGTTTGCAATCGTGTCATTACGATTTCGTGAGTCATATATGTTGAAGCCCACGGGACTACCAACGTTTCTGTACTCGACTGAAGAAGTCTACTGTGTAGGCGAAACGTTTCGAGACACTTATGCAACGTATGGGAATCTTTATTGAAGAAACGTTTCGCCACACAGTGGCTTCATCAGTCCAACATGAAGCAGAAAGGTGTAAAGAGAGGAGGATTTGTAGACGAGTGGTTCAGATACCCAAGAGTTGCACATGTGTCTTAATTTATCATCATCAAAGAGGGTAGGAGTTTGAGGTAATCATTCCCTCAGCCCGGAATCTGTGTTCAGTCCATCAGTCTTGTAGAAAATACAGCATAGAGCCGGAGAAGTGACTTATATACTGTAGTCAGGTGAGTGGAAGCAGGATGTTAAATTAGACACATGTGCAACCATCCATCTACAGTGGAAGCAGGAGGAGGCGGGGTCACACTGGAATCTTCCACTAGTGTAAGTAACAGGAGGAGGCGGGATCACAGTGGGGCAATCCATTAGTGTAAGTAACAGGAGGAGGCGGGATCACAGTGGGGCAATCCATTAGTGTAAGTAACAGTAGGAGGCAGGATCACAGTGGAACCATCCATTAGTGTAAGTAACAGGAGGAGGCGGGATCACAGTGGAACCATCCATTAGTGTAAGTAACAGGAGGAGGCGGGATCACAGTGGAACCATCCATTAGTGTAAGTAACAGGAGGAGGCGGGATCACAGTGGAACCATCCATTAGTGTAAGTAGGTCTTCGTCCAAAGGTTGGACAGGTACTGAAGAATTCCTTGTATCAAGATCCCATGTTGTTGCAGTGTCTGACAGATGTGATAAATGGTTTTCAAAACCGACAAGTGTCTCAATCTTCAACTTGTCGGTTTTGAAAACCATTCATCACAAAGGTATGACTCGAGGGGCAGATCCGCTTCATTACAAAAGCTGATCCAATGGACAAGTATTGAAGAATTCCTTGTATCAAGATCCCATGTTGTTGCAGTGTCTGACAGATGTGATAAATGGTTTTCAAAACCGACAAGTGTCTCAATCTTCAACTTGTCGGTTTTGAAAACCATTCATCACAAAGGTATGACTCGAGGGGCAGATCCGCTTCATTACAAAAGCTGATCCAATGGACAAGTATTGAAGAATTCCTTGTATCAAGATCCCATGTTGTTGCAGTGTCTGACAGATGTGATAAATGGTTTTCAAAACCGACAAGTATCTTAACCTTTAACTTGTCGGTTTTGAAAACCATTCATCACTCTGTGTTCATCCTCCAGACTTGCTAATTCTTAACCAAGTCTCTGAGTGGAAGCACTCTGCGTCCTACCTTCAGAAACAGCACCTCCCCTATCCGAGTTTTACAGAATGACTTGATAAATTAGACAAGTGTGCAGCACTTGGGTATCTTTATTGTGGAAACGTTTCGCCACACAGTGGCTTCATCAGTCCAATACAAAAAAGAACGGTGAAAATCAGGAGTAGTTTGAGATAATCAGTCCCTCAGCCTGGAGTCCATGTGTTCAGTTCATCAGTCTTGATCTTCACTATTCTTCGTATTGGACTGATGAAACCACTGTGTGGCGAAGCTATTCCAGGAGCTTGACAAATTAATAAAGCTCCTGGAGAGCGAAACATTGCCACAATAAAACGTCGCATTAGTTGCACATTAGCTTCTAACATATTGTCGGTAATTCTACCAACACTAACACAATAAAAATACCCAAGCACATGTGTCATAATTTATCAACTTGTCGGTTCTCTCAGGCATTTATCTACATTTACAGAATAAACACTTTCATGAGGACCTGCCTTGTATGGGCCAGTGGGTCTTTTGCAGTGTTCCTCCATTCTTATGTTGTTTTTATAATTGCAATGTTTCCACCCGAGTTTCCGAGGGCAAACACTGTAGATCCCACCTCCAGAACTATTGAAAATGGTATGAAATACCAGCCCCTCAGCCTAGAGTTGAACTCTTCTCCAGACTGAGGGACTGACTACCTCAAATACTTTTTCTCCGAGGTTGATGGACTGACATCATCTTTAGTTTACTACTACTGCTGCCTCTGTATTTGACTACTGTGACGGCGAAACGTTTCATCAATAATGATACCTAACGGTTGCACATGTGTCTTAATCCTCACCTCCAGAGCTGTAATCCTGTTCATCTTAGAAGGATTTACTTGAGTCAGGTCTCAGGTGCACTACAGCACTATGACTGACGGGCAACTACAGACTCCGCCACATTTATTGTGGCTCACTGACGGGAAGTTACGAGATAGGGCAACTCCATCATCCTGTCCTGCTGTGTACTTACCTGTTTGTGGTTGCGGAAACTGAGTCTCAGCTCCTGATCCCGTTGAACATTAAAATGGTATAAAATACCGACAGGTTGTTAGGTAAGACACATGCAACAGTTAGGTATCTTTATTTCAAAACGTTTCGCCTACACAGTAGGCTTCTTCAGTCGAGTACAGAAAAGTTGATAGAAGCAGAAGAGACTTGAAGACGATGTAATCAGTCCATCACCCTTAAAGTTTTGAGGTGGTCAGTCCCTCAGTCTGGAGAAGAGCTTTGTTCCATAGTCTGAAACAATATGGAGTTGAAGTGACAGGATGGAGCTCCATCCTGTCACTTCATGATTCTGAGGACATGTACATAACCTTCACGACTACGACAACTACTACTACAACTAACCCATCTCTTTGGGAAGGACCTACTTCCACTGGGGAATCCCGCCTACCAGTGACTATGCCCTCGTCTGCTACACCTGACGTTACTATATAAGCGCCAGGATCCTTGCTTCTGCTTCAGAATCTCCACGACTACGGTGCTCTTCGCACCTACTCCTAGGTTGAGGGACTGATTACCTCATCTTCTGTACATAGTTCTACTGTCTTCAAGTTATGTCCTAGAATTTGTATTGATAAAGCCACTGGATGGCGAAACGTCTACAATAAAGATACCCAGATGTTGCACATGTGTCTTAATTTCACCTTGTCGGTATTATATACCATTCTTGCACATTGAAAATTGGGTTGAGCAAATATTCTGTTAGTGGGATGGATTGTGAAGGACCTGCCTAGTATGGCCCAGTAGGCCTACTGCAGTGCTCCTCCTTTCTCATGTTCTTATAAGAACATAGGAAGGAAGATCAGTGCTGCGGGCCCACTGCCTAGGCAAGTCTAACTCACACCCTCCCACAACCATTCAGGTACTTGTTTAACCTATTTTTAAAGCTACACAAGGTGTGAAGGCTTACTCAGCCCTGTAATAACTTCAGACAGTAGTACCAAGGCTGGCTCCTCCTCAGGAAAATTAATGAATAGAAAAAGAAATAATAACAGACAAACATAAACACTTTATTATATAGAAAATATAAAATATAAAACACTTAAATATGAAATATTAATCCTACATTAAAGAAAATGAAAAATGAAAAATATAAATCATAACTGAATTCAACGCTAATATAAAACGTGGGTGTCTGGTGTTGGTGACACTGTTGTTGAAATCGTAGCTGTTGCTGATGATGGGGGGGGGGCGCAGGTGTTGGTTACAACCCACGGTTCGTTCTTCACAGTATATCCGTGAGTATTCTATCCCGATGACAGGAAAGCAGGTTCTTTACCGCTGTAATGATGAGGGGTTACGTCCTGCAATTTCATACAGGTGCACAGGTAATTAAATCCAAAAAGGGGAAGTCTCAGGACGTTAGTCCATCTCCATCAGTTCTACTCGTTGATTGGCAGGTGACCCTCTCTGTCATCCAAGCTGGAAAGATAGACAGGTTACCCACTGCTTAAGAAATCACCCTCCATGATAAGTACAATACCTAAAAGATGTGGTGATTATTACAACAGTCAACTTAGAGCAAGACTGAAAGGACTAAGTTTATTATTGGTCAAAAGTGAAGCTTTCAACCAATAAATCCACTAGAATACAAGGCAGGCATGTACTTACAGTAGTGCTGGGAGCTGTGAGTCTAGTGATTACTGTTTGGACCGGAGCCCCACACGTCACCTTTTGGGGGGGGGGGAAGAAGGAGGGGAAGGGATAGCGGGAGCTAGACTGACCCTACCTTAACAAGCACCCGGCAGTCAAACTATCACTTTCGGGGTGAGGGAAAAAAGGCGGGAATAGCGGGAGCTTGACTTACCCTACCTTAACAAGTAGCCGGCAATGAAACTATTGTTACTATATACTCCCTTGATACTCCTATCTATTGAACTTTTCCCCTCACACAAGGTTTTAGCTTCAATGACGCTACTCGGGAGTTTGTTCCACTCATCCACAACTCTACCACCAAACCAGTGCTTTGCTATATCTTTTCAAAATCTAAAATATTTCCAACTTGAAGCCATTGCTGAGAGTCCTGTCTTGGTTAGATGCTTCTAGCATGTTATTTATATCCCCTCTGTTTATTCCTGTCTTCCATTTATGCACCTCAGTCATATCCCCCCTAATTCTATGCCTTTCCAGAGAGTGCAGATTCAGGGCCCTCAGTCCCTCGCGGGAAATTCTTAGACAACAGGCTATCAGGAACAGGAAGGAGAACCCTCACGAAAAGTGGACAGATCAGGAAGATTCCGAGAGTGAGACTGAAAAAGGGATAATCAAAAGGGATAATCAAAAGGGATAATCAAAAGGGATAATCAGGTCAATGCCAGCGCGAGTGGCAGGTGCAGTAGTCAAGATTAAATGTAATAATAGTATACAATATCGACTTGTAAAGTAAAAGGACACAAGTGCAACTAATGTGACATTAGTTGCACTTGTGTCCTTTTACTTTACTTATTGTCGGTAATTCTACCAACTTTATCACAATATCGTCTTGTTGATAAGTCAGACACATGTCAATAGTTAGGTATCTTTATTCCGAAACGTTTCGCCTACACAGTAGTCTTCTTCAGTCGAGTACATTAGTATTAGAGATGTAGAGATGATGTGATCAGTTCCATCCATGCCTTGAAGGAGACGTAGTTTATTGAAAGGTGAATTTCAGTCCTTCCAGGCCTGGGGGGAAAGCCAGTTTTGCTTCATTGTCGGGAAACCAAGTTGACAGAGTTTCAAGTGATAGTCAACGTGTATGAGGCTCCATCCTCAAGTATACGTGTTCTGACTGTTAGGTATCCTTTACTGAATCGTGTAGGCGAAGAAAGTTTCGGCAATAAAGATCCCCCCTTAACGCTCATGAGTCTGTATTGATAAATAGCCACTAGGTTTCCAAACGTCTCTACACATAGAAGGTTACCACAGGTTGTGCCACATGTGTTTTAATTTCAGCTTGGTCCGTGATGTCTAGCCATCCTTTCATACCTAACTGCTCAGAATCGTGCCTTACTTATAAAAAAGATTTCTTGATTAACATAAGGGGATACAATCGTCGGCACGAAGGGGATCAGTCTGAAACTTGAGGTCAAGACCTAACTTTAAGGTGGTAAAAATAAGATTGGATAATGTCAGAGGCTGTCTTAAAGGGTAGTTTTAACCATGTCCGGGGGAACCCTATGGTTTTAATGTACGTGACCTTGTTCTTGCATGTACGTGACCTTGTTCTTACTTAATATGGTCATACTTTTCTGTAATTAAGGTGTAAAGAAAGAATACTTCAGTATAATAAAAGAATAAGTAATGTCAGTAAACCGTCATTATTGTATTCTTAGGTAAAAGGTCATAAGAACAGCTAATGTGACCTGGCCTGGAATTTTACGACTCACTCGCCACAAGTTCGATTCCCACCCGTGGTATAGTTTTTTTTACACATGCTTTATGTGATCTCTGGGAAAAATTCTCTGCTCCTGCATAGTGAGATTGACAATCAAAAGATTTTGGCCAACTTCAGCTGGCCAAAATTTTTATTTCCATACTGAATACTGTGTTAAGGTTAATGTGTAAATGATCCTTTACAAGCTGGTAACTTACCTATGTTAAGATGGTAAATGTAGGTTCCACTTCTGTTACTATCAGCCTGTCAGTAGTGTTGCTGTGTAGTATACTTAGATACAAACTGGACATGTGCAACATCTGTCGTTTAATGTGGAGAAGTTTCGAAGTGGTGCTTTAATAGGATGGAGTTTGGAGATAGTGGAAAAATAGGCAATCAGTCCCCACTTGAGTTGCTGTGAACAGCAGCCGTAATCGTGAAGATTGTCTTTGGACAGGAAGGTAAGACGAAGCAGCTGTCGGAGGGTGGGGAGGTAAGAAGGCAGCAAGAGGATGGAAATTGTTTCGGTGGATGGAGGGAAGGGGAGAGAGGCAGGAATAGGCAAGTGGGCCAAGCCATTGAAGATGTGGTATTGCGTCTGCAGGGTGATAAAGGGGAGTTACTGATACGATGGTTGGGTTTTCTCTGGTTCTTCTGGGAACAGGTGAACTTACAGCCCGGCAGGAGCGTGGGAGTGTCGTGGGCAAACAGCAGGATTGGTTGGGTTTTGTGGTGTTAGAAGGGTACCAGGCTTTTGGGAAAGGTTTTGTGGCAGTGATAGGTGAAGCTAGTTGAAATGGTGTTGGAAGAGGATTGGTGACTCTTCTTGGGATGTTGGTGCACTTTAAGGGGAGATTGATTGGTCTGTATAGATGGCTGAGGTGGGTGGTTATATCTTTGCAGGGTCGTTGTGAAGTAAGCAGGTGAACTTTACAGTCCCTTCCTTGGAGCCGAGTGACGATTTTTGGGAATCATTCTTAAATCTAGTGGCGGTAGCTGGAAGGAATCAGGCGATGTTGAGGAAGAATTATTCATAGGTATGAGACCGGGGTTGATGGATTTTGTGTGGAAGATGGAGGTGGTCTCTCATTGGAGGGTGTGATGGTGGAGGCTGCGGGTGCGAAAATCTCTGGGTTGGTCGTCTGAGTGTGTATGGCTTGGTAGGAGGGGTCTCTCATTGGGGATTTTGAGTAGCGTTAGCTTTCTGCAGAAATCATATCTTGCAAGTCATGGTCTACTTGACGATTTTGGTATTACTTAATACATCAGTGAATCATGACTAGCTGAAGTTCTAGAAAATTTTGGGCAAGAATATCATTCATAGTTGTATTGAAACTAACGGTTACTCTCTTCAGATGGTTGCATAATCAGAGTATAATTTTTAAAATATCGTACTGGGAAAGGCTGTGACTGGTGGAGGTGCTGGTGGCTTGTAAAATCTTGTGGGGGGTCGTCTGAAGCTTAGCTATAGCAGCATAAGTAGGAGAGTTTCCTGTAGTCTTCTTCAGGTCTTCCTTTAGTTT